CAAAACATTTTTTAAAGTGTTCATCAATATACCAGCTAAAATCCATGCTATGTGTACCTGTAAAATAACACAATTTTTGTGCAAAACAAGACACATTTACCAACATATACCATTGATAAATGTCTTATATCCTTTCGTAGACAAACTCTGTTTTGTAGAAACTTGCATGCTTTTCCTCATTTTTCAAAGTTCTTTTCATTCGTGGTAATGGTTTAAATTAATTTCCCAATCCTAGTATATCTATAAAGCCAACATTACATCAGTAGATCTGTATTCTGCTTTCAAAGCAAGTGTTCAGCCCAATGAGACTCTGACAATAACATAGCAATACATGGGAAGACAAAGGAAACAAAAGCTATCCTTGGCAAACGGAGATAAGGCCTGAAGTGCATGTGGTTTAAAAATATACATCAAAGAAGAAACAAAGAATGTCTTTCCAAGGTCTGCTAGCAATGACTTCAATAGCTTTTTCATGCATAAATGTGTGTGTTAAGGAAAGAATAAAAAAAACCTCTCATTGCCCAAGGTAAGGAAAGGGGAGAATCAAAATTGCATAACAAGAGTAATCCATGTTTATTCTTATGTGTATTTTCTTAGTCTTTTGGACTGGGTGGACATGATCTGGAGCCCAGAGGGACACACCATATAATTTTCAGCTTCTTAAGAGCTCCAGGAGCTACAGGATGTATTCTTAGCCACCATTTAAGGCATATGTGTCACACTTAAGGCCTATGGGCTGAAATTGGCCTGCCATGTCATTTTATGTTGCTCCTCCAGATGCTGAAACACAGGAGTTGCTGTGTTCCTCATTATTAGACATCAAAACTTGAGCTGATGGGAGTTGTGATACAGTAATATCTGGAAAGCCGTCATTTGTTTTATTGAGTCAGAATAGTGGAGTTTGAATTTAGGATCCAAACTAAAGAGAACCAACCACTGTAGAAAGATTACAATTGGCCCTCTGCATCCAGATTCTCTGTCCATAGATTCAATGGCCCTTTGGAGGTACCCATTAGGCTGATGTGGCCCTTGATGAAAATGAGTTTGACATCTCTTATTTAAGCTAACCAGAACTCACGTCATTTCTTGTCTCTGGGGAAGCTTGGCTTTTTTGAGGTGGGAGATTCCTAAAAAGAACCCCTAACATTTCTTTTAATGTGCCCAATAAATCCACCTAATAAACCTTTAAATGATTGTTTTTAAAGCTCAAAAATGATATTGGGACAAGAAATTGGGGGGTTGCAAGGTGTATGAGTTCAACCCATGATGACGTTCCAAGGGCGGCAGTAAATTCATCAAAGGACTATCTGCATTGCACAAGACTCCCACTCCTGCTTTCTGTACATATAGTAACAATACATTATCACACAGCAGAAATCCACCAAAGTAAAAAGCCTATGCAGTTTCACTGTTGTTGTTTATTCGTTCAGTCACTTCCAACTCTTCGTGACCTCATGGAACAGCCCAGCCAGAGCTCCCTGTCAGCTGTGGCCACCCCCAGCAGCTTCAAAGTCAAACCAGTCACTTCAAGGATACCACTCATCCATCTTGCCCTCTTCCTTTTTCCTTCCATTTCCCCAGCATCATTGTCTTCTCCAAGCTTTCCTGTCTTCTCATTATGTGGCCAAAATACTTCATCTTTGCCTCTAATATCCTTCCCTCCAGTGAGCTTTATGGACTGGTTGGATCTTCTCGTGGTCCAAGGCATTCTCAGAACTTTCCTCCAGCACCACAGTTCAAAAGCATCTATCTCCCTTTGCTCAGCCTTCCCTGTGGTCCAGCTCTCACATCCATAGGTGACTATGGGGAATACCATTGCTTTAACTATGTGGATCTTCATTGCCAGTGTAATGTCTCTTCTCTTCACTATTTTATCGAGATTGGTCATTGCTCTCCTACCAATATTTTCTGACTGAAGTGCGACTGCAGTAGTCTTTGTGACTAAAAATACAAAGTCCGTCACTGCCTCCACGTTTTCTCCCTCTGCTTCACTATGCTTCACTAAGGTGTACCTTTTCTACTCTTTGTGTATTCAACTTAGTATATACAATTTAGTATGGTTTCGGCTTATAAAAAATGAGCCAGAATGGGTTGAATAAAGCCATTAAGGGCCTCAGATTTAAATATTCAATATAGCCAGATTTAGGGTAAGAAAATGTAAGGCCCCACTACAGTTGCTATGGCTTCTTACATATTGTTACTGGTTTCAGGATCAAGAACATGTCATGTGGCAAGCATTTTACTTCCTTCTCAGTGAAGTACCACATACTAGATTTGAGTATGCATTTCTGTTGCAACTGGTATTTTCGCTTGAGGCACCAACAAGGAGAAAATTATGTTTGGAAATGCCTCTTCAAAAGAAGAGCCCTGCTAAAATGCCCTAAGGCTTTAGTCAACCAATCTACTGACTAGAATGCAATTCAGCTAGAGTCCCAGTAGAATGAGACATGTTGTTATTCATCTTTATGGCTCTCGTGTAGCTCCTGAATCGTGAGTGTAATTTTGGGAAGAGTTTTGAACAGAACAGGGACCTTGGCAGAAGACAACAAGGCTAAAAGTGATGAATGAGTTGCCCATTCCCTGCATCCCCCATAAGTAAGAGAAGTGTCATCCCTCAGAAGAGTGTAGTAGGAGATCCTGTCTCCTGAGGAGCAAGAATCTGGTATCAATCATAAACATCAGCAAAGTGGATGCAAACAACTGGAAGATTTGTTCCAAGGACTGCTTGAACATCTGCCTCTGTACATTCCATAGTATTGTTAAGTGCAGTGTCTTGGTTGCTTAATGTTGTTTTATGTGATATCATTTAAGAGAGCAAATATATACACGCACAAATAAAGAAAACAATTGTTAAGAATTATTTGTTTCAACAGGTTTGGAGACAATACAGCCATGGATGGGAGATCCACAATCTCACCTCGGCTAACTGTGTCTACGGACCTCATCATATTTCCTCTTGGATTCATCACGCATCATGGCATGGGGCATGGAGAACCCAGCACCCCACCTTCCCCCTCCCCCCCCCCACAGGAGGAAGCGTCACCACCCGGCTTCCTCTAGTTGCTTTCAAAACAACACAAGAAACATGCACAAACACACAGAGCTGTGAACATTATCTCTGCATATGATTAGTACTGTATCCATATTGACATGTAACTTTTCAATCACTGGCCCCTAGATGACTGAAGTCCATCTTGCTCCACATACCCAAGTAAGATAACTAGCTGCACTAGGGTAGCAGGCAGTAGAACAAGGTCCACACTGGACCAGGACTGAGAGTGAAATAACATAGAAGTCATGCAATAAATATAGGCTGGAATCCTGCATCAAGACACAGAGCATAAATGTTCTACAGATGGAATTATACTATGCCTTCCCTCCCACCGTTTCTGAGGCTAACCTTTTAGCTACCACAGACCCCATTACACAACTAGTAAAGTAAAGATAAAGATTTCCCCTGACATTAAGTCTGGTCATGTCCAACTCTGGGGAGTGGTGCTCATATCCATTTCTAAATGGCAGAGCCAGCGTTGTCCATAGACACGTCCAAGGTCATGTGGCAGGCATGACTGCATGGAACGCCGTTACCTTCCCACAGAAGCAATACCTATTGATCTACTCACATTTGCATGTTTTTGAACTGCTAGGTTGGCAGAAGCTCTGCCTAACAGCGGGAGCTCACGCCACTCCCTGGATTCAAATTGCCAACCTTTTGGTCAGCAAGTTCAGCAATTCAGCAGTTTAACCCGCTGTGCCACCAGGGGGCCCCTTTACACAACTACTTGATTGCATTTGGCTGTTTCTGGAAGATCAGGGTGGTCCTGGCTATTGTTCTCTATGCTACGATGTCATCTTTCTGCATCTGACTACAAGCATATAACTAGAAAGTTCTCCAATGTCCTCTGCTCTTCAATGGACACTAAATGGCCACAGAATAAGAACTGCAGCAGCTCAAAAGTGCATTGGTTGTTGTATAAAGCTGGTAAAAATGCTGACCTCCATAAGGATAAAAAAGAGACTTAGGATGGCATAAGTTTGATTTACATAAAAGCAAGCTGCTAATAGGATGCTAGGCATAATTTTGTTATACTCTTAAAATTTGTTACATGTTCTTCGTCCAATGAACTCAATGGTCCTAGGAGCCCCTGGTGGCAGAATGGGTTAAACCCTTGTGCCAGCAGGACTGAAGACCAACAGGTTGCAGGTTTGAATCCAGGGAGAGCACGGATGAGCTCCCTCTGTCAGCTCCGGCTCCCCATGCAGGGACATGAGAGAAGCCTCCCACAAGGATAGTAAAACATCAAGACATCTGGGCATTCCCTGGGCAACGTCCTTGCAGACAGCCTATTCTCTCACACAAGAAGTGACTTGCAGTTTCTCAGGTCACTTCTGACATGAAAAAAATGGCCCTCCTTTTCTTCAGGTTATTCTTCCAACATAAACTGGTGGGAGATTAGGACTGCATTTTGAGAGAAAACTGCAAGCTAAATGCCACCTTGTTGAGAGGCTTTACTGAGGACAATAGATCAGAAATAATAGTATCCAAGCAGCTGAATACAGATTCTAAATCTGGAGTCCGACAAAACAGATCCTATTTGGCCAAATGATGCTGGCAGGAAAGAAAAGAATAAGGTCTATATAATTCTGAAGAGCCACTGCTAATTGGATACCTGTGCTTTTACTCTTGTTTTATATTTTTTTGTTTGTACCTGAGATTCACTCACAGTGGGACACAAAAACAGCAGGGGCAGTGAGAAATACAAACTCTAGCAACAGCATGCAGCACTATTCAAAGGGTTCAAAGAAGCATTCACTTATCCAATATTTTTATCAGTCATTCACCAGAGGACTTTTATCATAAACAGTACTTTTGACTTGAGCTCGAAGGAAGTTACAGGGGACAGGAGCATGTCTCTTTTTGTAAAATTCCCCTTGGTGAAAAACATCCAGATTAATAAACTTCAGCAAGAGGTTTTAAAAAAACAGTTATAACTACTCACATGTATTCTCTGTGTGCTGAATGTACAGCAGCTGCATTGCTGTAGCGCCAAAGGACTATCACTGATGACAACACATCCAAAGTGGCATCAAACTGGAAAAGATACAAAAGCTATTAATTCAAAATACACTTAAATCAATATCCTACTAATTATACTACAAGACTACAGAGTAACTGGGTATAAATCATTTGAACTGACACAGGGATCAGCACTGGTTAGAATGGGCAGATCTTCAGTGCTGGGAACAAACAAAAAACCCAACAGAATTTGCTCTTCCAGCCAAAGAGTGTATTTCCTCCCTCAAACCAATAACATGACCCCATATGTGCTACCATATATGAAGAATATTGTAAAATAAAAGCTACAAGAAGAAACCTAGAAAATAAGAATGACAGCTACCGTCATGGATCGTAATTTCTCTGCATTGTGAAATGCAATGTTAATTGTTTGACGTCATGTCAATTCACATGAGGCATATTATCAGGATAAGAGATCTTTCTGGATATGTGACAGTGGCAAAGCAAACAGACTTTTCTGTTCACTGTTACAGAACTGTATCTTTGTAACACCCTCTACTAAAGGATTCAGAAGTTATTAAAAAGTAGAGCCACACCACATAATCATAGCGGTTTGATACCGCTTCAATTGTCACAATTACCACCATATAGAATCCTGAGATAAGCGGTTTTATGGGTTACCAGATAGCTCGAGTACTATAGTTCAGGTGCTGTAAGTACCTCACCAAACTACAAACCACAGCATTCCATAGCACAGAGTCACAGGAGTTAAAGTGGTGTCACAGTGGTATAACTGTGTGGTGTGGATACATCTTAAAATGAAAAAAGCTTGTGATTTCTTTGAGATAGACAGATCTATTATAATGTGATTTTTTCTGGATTATAGAATGGACATATATACCTAAAGCTCTAATATTATAGGATACTCCACACATCTAAGAAATCATAGTATAATCTGCTAGTAAATCTGTTAATATTGAAGGAGCAATATCTTTCATGGGTGCTTTAGTTGTGTATGAGTGCATGGCAGGGGGTTCAACTAGATTCTTCTTGTGGTTCTTTCCAACTCTGAGATTCTATTATTTTATAATTCTATGAAAAGATTATTGTTATAAGTGGAGCTACAAGGTCCTGAAGTACAATGAAAACACACACACACACACGTACACAGCCTCTTTGTTTTGTCATTTAATGAGGAGCAGCAAAAAAAAAAAACAAAACCCAGTGAAATCAGAGTAAATAACCAGGGCAATTTTTTAAGCGTTTGCTCTATTCCTTCATAGTGCTTAAATAATAAACTTTGTTTATATTCCACTTTATCTCCCCGGAGGGACTCAGAGTGATTACACATACAAGGCAAATATTCAATGCCTTTTACACAAACAATGACATACAATACATAGATACGGTAAAGGCATTTCCCTTTTCCCATATCTGCCATCTGCAGGCAATGCTCAACTTCTGACCATGGGGAGGTGCTCTTGTTCCATTTTCCATGCTGAAGGAGCCTGTTATCCATAGACATCTCCGATTTTTTTGCTGGCATGTCTGCATATCTGCATGGGGCACCCTTTTACCTTCCTGCCAAGTCGATACCTATTGATCTACTTGCTGTCGAACTGCTAGGTTAGCAGACGGTAGGACTGAACAGTCAGGAGCTCACCCCAACTTGCGGCTTTGAACTGCTGACCTTCCAGTCAACAGCTTTTTCTGCAGCTAGCGGCTTTAACCATTATGCTACCGTGGCCCTGAAAACTGGTGTAAATCATCTGTTCCCATAAAAAGAAGTGAAGAAAGTAGTCAAGACCATGGATTACACTCCCACTGAACCACAGCACTAGAATTCTCTAGCACAGATCTCCAAGAATTTTGTCAAACTGTAAATCCGATAATTTTGATGGTAAAATGGTTTGAAGCTGCTATAAGTGTCCAGTGTATATTTACTGAAAGTTAGAAAAATGTTTTAAGTTTGTGTCTAATTTGTTTAACACAATAAAGAGATGACAGTGATACTAAATGCAGTAAATGAGTATTGTAACTTTACATGCTATTCACGTATTCAATCAAAGTTATCTATGAGCCAAATGTACAGCAGCTGTATTGCTGTAGCTTCAAAGGACTAACACTGATAGCAACACATCCAAAGTAGTCTATGTGACACCTATAGCAGAATAAGAGCTGACCAAAGAGAGTCTACAATATACTATTCAGGTATGAAATTACTTACTGCAAATCCAAATGATGAAGCACTGTACCTCATTACGGAGACAGCTAGAAGAAAAGAGATGTTTTTAAAGAATCGTTCTGTGTATTAAAGTAAGTGAAGTTAAAGATGCAAAATGACCATAAGAATAAAAGGAACCAACTAACTCATAGTGTATTCATTTGCAGTTACACACACTATACTGTACTTCTGTAAACCATAAGAACAAATTTACATACAGGAGATCTATAGAAAACATTTTTCCAAGGAATGTGCATAAAACAAGGACTAACCACATGTGCAAATATGCATAACAGTGTCACAATGCTTCTTTTTAAAAAAGAAAGAAAACTACTTTAAATTAATTCAGCCAAAATGGAAGCAGATGAGAAATGCCAAGCTTCAATTCATAGCTCCTGCCATGTACTTCACCTGTGTTCTCCTCCCTCACTGTTGAAATACCTTGGTTTCTAAAGCATATTGCAATTTAAAATGCTTAACAAAAATATAAAGCACTTTAATGTAACAAAAGCAATAGCTTCAAAATGGTTAAAAAACGAAATGTCTCAAAACAAGATTTAACAACCATTAAAACAGTCTTTTTAAAAGTCCATTGAGAGATCCAGCAGAAAATTGACATTTATTTCCCATCAGTTGCCATTGAAACACTCACGCAATTTCTCTCTCTCAAAACGACCTCTGAAGTCATATTAAAGTGGACCCAGAACAGTAGTTTTATTCAAGAAAGTCTGTAGCTGGTTAGAGAGTATGTTCTAGTCCAGGAAAACAAGATTTGACACTCGTCTCAAGTGCCCTGAGTTAGTTCCAGCTAGAGAAGGCTGGCTGAATCAACAGAGGCTTGTTGTAGGGCTTTCTGGGCTGAATGGCCATGTTCTAGAAGTATTCTCTCCAAAGAATTTTATTGTAATTTTTAATTTTGAAATTTACCAGTAGCTGCTGCATTTCCTACCCTTGGCTTATATTCGAGTCAATATGTTTTCCCAGTTTTTGTGGTAAAATTAGGTGCCTCGGCTTATATTCGGGTAACCTTAGACTCGAGTATGGTAAGTCAAATGAGAAAAAACATTCCAGCAATGGTAGGATAATGGAAATAAGGTTCCACTCTCATATCTTGCCTCCTCCTACCCTGTTGTATAACATTGGTCCTACTAAATATGTTGGAGTCCATGCAGTATAATAATTTAACGAAGACTTTAGGAGCCTGGGATTTCAACTCTCCACTCAGGAATGGTAACCCATGGAGACCTTGAGCAAGTCACACTCTCTCAACCTGTGGGTCCCCAGGTATTTTTGCCTACAACTCCCAGAAATCCCAGCCAGTTTACTAGCTGTTAGGATTTCTGGGAGTTGAAGGCCAAAACACCTGGAGACCCACAGGTTGAAAACCACTGTCCTAGAGGAAGCTAAGGGCAAATCACCTCTGAATTAGTTTTGCCAAGAAAGCCCTGTGATAAGTTTGAATCCATTCTAAGGTACATAACGTCTACCTCAGAAGAGTCTACCTCAGATCACAGGTGCAGTAATGGTTTATATGGCATGCTTCTTGGTATTGGTTGCAAAAATTAGAACACCACTTTCTATAGAAGCAGGGTAGATGGAGCTTCTTGTATGGCCATTCTGTCTAGGGATGCAGGAAGCTTCAGTCCAACATTTCTCAAAAGCACTAAGGTTGGGAAAGGCTTGGACAAAGAATGTTCATCATGCTGCCATGTATATTTTGGCACCTAAACAATCTCTGAAGACATACATCCAATCACTTGTTTATTGATAAACATATATACCTTTATTTCCACTATTATTTATTTATGTATTTATTTACTATATTTATATACCACTTTTCTCAGCCCTTGGGCGACTCAAAGTGGTTTACAATAGCAAAATTCAATGCTCAAAACATCATAGAACAGTTAAAACAATTAAAACAATAGCATAATAAACAATCATTACAAAATAATAAAACAATAAAACATCTCATTAGCGTCTCTTAGTTAAAATCAAGATCCAATCTCATCATCCAATTGCTCCATATTCCTATGTTCATTACACTGCCTTTTCAAACACCTGCTCAAACAACCAGGTTTTCACTTTCCTCTAAAATGCTAACAAGGAAGGGGTCAATCTGATGTCTGTAGGAAGGGTGTTCCATAGCCGAGAGGCCACCACTGAGAAGGCCCTGTTTCTCGTCCCCGCCAAACGTGTTTGTGACGTAGGAGGGATCGAGAGCAAGACCTCCCCAGACAGTCTTAACATCCTAGCTGGTTCATAGGAGGAGATGTGTTCGGACAGGTAAGTTGGGCCAGAACCGTTTAGGGCAGGGGTCCTCAAACTAAGGCCCGAGGGCCAGATATGGCCCTCCAAGGTCATTACCCGGCCCTTGCTCAGGGTCAACCTAAGTCTGAAATGCCTTGAAAGCACACAACAACAACAACAACAACAACAACAACCCTATCTCATCACCCAAAAACAGGTCCACAATTCCCATTGAAATACAAATAAGTTTATATTTATTAAAATTGTTCATTTTAATTATTGTATTGTTTTTAAGTGTTTTTTGCACTACAAATAAGATATGTGCAGTGTGCATAGGAATTCATTCATTCATGTTTGTTTTTTTTCAAATTATAATCCGGCCCCCCAACAGTTTGAGGGATTGTGACCTGGCCCTCTGTTTAAAAAGTTTGAGGACCCTTGGTTTAGGGCTTTATAGGCTAAAGCCAGCACTTTGAATACTAATGTTTCACAAAGCAGTAAACAAAAAAATTTACAAAATTATAGTATAAAAATAAATCAACAACTGTCATGGGTTTTGAGCAAGAATTAAAGATTCTGGTGGTATTCCAAATGCTACAGAACATAAATTTATCCACTGATAATTTAATGTTCCCATTATAGTATTATGCTGTTCTTTATTTTTCAGGAGTTAGTTATCACTATGATTGTAGCCACAATATTGCTTTTGGGGCAACTCATCAGTTCATACCACAGCTATTAGATTTCAATTAGGACTCAGTGACAGATTAAAATACAAATTGAAATTCACCCTGTAGGTTAAAATGCACTAGTTAAAAATTACTGGGTAGGCCTGTCGGAAGGCATAGGTCTTCACTTGTGTTATAAATTCAAACAGCTGATCTAGCGGTTGGTTATATCCCAGTAGGTCATTCCACAGTTTTGGGGAGATCAATGAAAAGGTCCTCTGGGTGATGGTCGCCAGCTGAATTCTGACTGGATGAAGTGTCTGCCTCCCCCTCCAAAGGACCTAAGTATCTGGGGTGGACTGTATGGGAGAAGGTGATCCTGGATATAACCTGGACCCAAACCATGGAGGGCAGGAACCTCAAACTATGGCCTTCCAGCTGTTTGGGCCTTCAACTCTAAGAATTCCTGACAATTAACAAGCTGACTAGAGCTTCTGGGAGTTGGGGGCCCAACAGCTGGAGGGCCACAGTTTGAGGATGCCTGATGTAGGGCTTTAAAGGTCAAAACTATCACTTTAAACTTTGCCTTGAAACTAACTGATCACCAGTGGAATGACTTTCATACAGGTGTTATGTGCTCACTCCTAGATGTTCCTGTAACTGGTCTGGCTACCATGTTTTGGATTAATTCAAGTTTTCTAACTTGGTGCAAAGGTAAGCCGATGTGCAGTGCGTTACCTTAACATTACCAGCAGGGCACTACCATGTTTAGATCTTCTGATTCTAGGAAGGGGTGCAGCTGCTGGCATATCAGATGAAGCTGGTAGTAAGCACTCCGGACCGCCACATCTACCTGGGATCACATTTGGGGAGATGGATCCAGGCTGTGGACACAATATTTCAGGGGGAGTGTAACCCCTTTCAGAACTAATTGACACACCTCCATCCTCAGGTTAGGACCCTTCATGGCAAGCACCTATGTCTTATCTGGATTCAGTTTCAATTTGTTTTTCCTCAACCAACCCATTGCCTCCTCAAGATATGCATTCAGAGACAACATGCTATCCTTAGTTAAAGCTGTTTTTGAAAGCATGAAGAAACAGATTTGGGTGTCATCAGTATACTGATAGCACCCTGCCCCGTGCCTCTGGATGATCTCTCCCAATGGTTTCATGTAAATGTTAAAAAGCATTAGGGATAGAATAGTTAGGAAGAAGAGGTAAAGTCTATTTCTGCTACTTTTTGAAGAATGTTCTCCAAACACTTTGGTGATAATGACCTGAAATTACTAAAAGGCAAAGCCCTCATTTCACAAGTATTATAAGATATGAAAGTGTTAAACAGGCATTGGCCAAATGTGGAATTAATTTGGTTGGCCATTTTGACAAAGTGAGTATATAGAGGAGAAAATGGCTCTAAATGTCTGGATCATGTAAGACTAAAAGTAAAAAATATGCAATGCAGTGAAAGAAAATTTAGGGCATTACTTGGCATTTTTTCTCTCTATTCTTTATGAGAAAGAGGATTTTTTCAGGAAAGATTGTATTCAATTATCAGTTAAGGGCCATGTATTATTTTTAGAACATCTGCAGCAGGACTTGAAGGCAATCTTAAATGGTCTTATGGGAGAAAGGAACTAAGCAGAGGCTTGACCCTGTAGCAGATCAATGTAAGAAAGTGAAATCTTGGTCACTAACTGGTGAGCACTCACAGGCATATTTTTGTGAAAGGAACTTCTACAGACTTTCCTACTGGGTCCTAGCACTCAGGGACAGGAAATGAGGAAAAGGAACAATTTTTTGGGACTAGGACTTTCTCCTTCAGGGCTCAGGACTGGAGGAGATGGTCTACACATGTTCAGGCTTCCTGGAAATAGACCAGCTGGAGGCAAGATACATTTTTAACTGGCCCATGGGGTCAGAGGTGGCTCACCTTTGGCATACTGAAAATGTGGTAAGATTGTATCTGCTTCAACATATACCACACTAAGTAGCCCTGCTGCTGATCAGAATTAAATACTTAATAAAGTGGTCCTTGGTTTATTCATCCATTTTATGTGCTTTTTTATTTATTCCCACTGGATGTGCTATTAAGATGTAAGCAGTACCCACCAATTAAATGATTTCAGG